CGCGCTCGCCTAACGCTTCTCTCCTCTGCTCTCCCGCGCAGCCACCCGGCTGGAAGAAGTAGCAGGAATCCGGGCGAAGTTTCCCACAAAAATCCCGGTAAGTCTCTTGTTTTGTTCTCGGAGGTTGTTGCCGCTCTTTAAAAAGAAGCGTTGGGAGTCTAAAGTGTGGGAAGCGGAGGGACCTGGATGTTTTAGGGTTTGCTAAGTGTGACTCTAATTTAAACAGGTAATTGTTGAGAGGTACCATAAAGAAAAATACCTCCCTCTCTTGGACAAAACCAAGTTTCTTGTTCCCGAGGAGCTGACCATGACACAGTTCATAACCATCATCAGGTGGGTAGCAGGCACCGGTGGGTCCGAGCTGCAGCTGCGGCTCTGCTGCTGTCCGAGCAGGTATTTCCCAGTGCTGTGCTGGCACAATTTCCTTGCTTCGGGCAGGAGCAGGACAAAGGTGTTAATAATGCAATGGCTTCTCTCTTTTGCAAGTGTTCAAAGGAGATCAACAGATGTTTTCACAGGTGCATTTGGTGAAAAAAAATTGGTCTGTGGTTTTTTTAATTCATGCAGTCTTCTCCGTTCTCTGTAACTAGTGAATAAAGGCTATACCAGATTCCTGTTCTGCTTTATTCCTGCTTGATGAGCTCAGTACTGGGGTCAGTGATTCGGTTTAGCTTATGGCTGTCACTGCTTTGCTCTCTTACTGCACCTAGCTGAATTTGCTGAAGTTCAAAGCAACTCTTGAGTGGCATGAAATAAACTATTCTTCATTAAACATCCCAGGGAAGAAGTATCCCGAACTATTTACTGGTATTTTCTGACAAAGAAGGAACATGCTTTTCAGCACACTTATTAAAGTGTAGAAAAATATCTTTCTAGAGGATAACTTTAGTAAAAGATGCTTCTGGCTCTGAGACAGCTTAGATCCTGGTCTTTGTATGTAATGTCTCTGAAAAGGACTCGTCTTTTGAAGGTAGACTTTATTGTAAGTGTAACAGAATTGAATTCTTTACGAAATCTGTACTGCAGAAGGTTTTGGCTTCTGCTTAAACTCTTTCCTGGTAATTGGGAGCTGAAAGCCCATGCTCAGTAGCATCTATGGTCTAACCACATAAGCCTTTCCTCAGTGCACAAGCCTTTCAGCTTCCAAACACACAGTTAACTTCCTGCCGATGAAGATGTTAAACCACGTAATGACTTTACACAGCATTTTTTGTACATAGTTCATGTAGCTGCTCTGCTTAATGTATTTCATAGACTGAAGTTGAAACCGTATTAAATTTGTCATGCTTAATCCTCTATTTCTCCTCCCTTTTTCAATTAGAAGCAGGATGGCTCTAACTGCTACACAAGCTTTCTACCTGCTGGTGAACAACAAAAGCCTAGCCAGTATGTCCTTGACAATGGCAGAAGTGTACAGGGACTACAAAGATGAAGATGGCTTTGTATACATGACGTATGCTTCCCAAGAGATGTTTGGATGCTTTTTACCTGCTGCTCAAGGGAAAACTATGGAATGCTTTCAGAAGACTTAAGGTTGGGCCCATGCACTGCAGCAAAGCAGTTTGCTGTGTATCATGCCTGTGACATGAACCTCGGAGATGCTCCTTCCAGTGTGAGCTCTTGAGCTCTGTAGTGGGGAGTTATGACCCAAAAGCTGGCAGGACCAGCTTAAGGCAGAAATGGTGGTACACTTTTCCTGGGTAATAATTTGGATATATATTTTTATATTTGAAGACACTAAGGGTTTTTTGAACTGCACCTCTACTTTTTTGCAATATCCATCTTTGTGTAACTGATTTCTTAAGGTGTCCTTAAAGCCTAAGTCTATGAGTACAATAAAGAAGCTTTTAAGTATTGAGTTGAATGTCAGTTTTAATCTGGGGAAATACTGTAAAAGTCTGTCTAGGAGAAGGTCTTATAATAATTCTGGGAATCTGAGCTCAATGCCTCTTAAGTGAAGTATTGCATGCACAACTACTCTGAATTTTTGAATGGAATATCAAAGGTGAAGTTGTCACCCACGAGTAAAACCTCACCTAGCTTAATGAACCATTAATAGGCATCTGACCTGTGAGATTAAGTAGGACTGTACCAAAGCAATGTTAAGTTTAGCACCTGAATAAACTACTGTCAACTGTTACAGAAAACACTGACTGTGATATAGGTAACTACTTGTTTAAACAAGTGAACTGTTTGCTAGTCAGCATAACTGAAATGCAGGTAGCATGACTGGAAGAGTACTCAAGTGTTCAAGTGTCTGTTATTGCTAATGCATTTTTTTGTGTAGTTTCTGTATTACTGTCATATCTGTCTCCTACAGGCACCTGCTTGTCAGTTCCCCTGAAGGACTTCAGTGAGCGTTCTTTCAAAGATGGATAGTGCTAAGGCATGTACCTTGTGATAAGGGGTATTCCAGTGTGTTTAGAAAATGTCAAAAATGTCATGTAGTTAAGATGCTGGTTCATCTGAATATACAGGTTGGGTTCCTCAACATGTATTAAAGGAATAGTTGACATGAGCTTTAGTCTGAAGTATAGCTCAAGCTATATTTTCTGGTCTCTTCATATGTGAGGAATGTATTGGAAAGTTGTAAACGCTCTGATGATGCATGATCAACTTAAAACACTAGGTAATTTAAAAATCTGTCACAGAGTGCAGTTAAATAATCAACCTCTGGCAGCCTGAGTTTAGGATTGGTTACATTGTTACAATATGATGCAATTCTTCTGTTCAGTACCAAACTGATTTGCAGAATGATTAATATAGGAATTACTAGACTGCAAAGAAAGAGTAAAAAGGAAGGAATGTGTGTGTAAGCTTTTTGCAGTCATTCTCTTGCATTAATAATCTCTTGAATTGGGAGCTCTGAGCAGAGCTGGGTTCAAGCATTTAAACCAGGGGCTTTAGACAAGTACCTGCCTTAGTGAAGGTGGTGTTTGCCAACTTGTGTTTCATGAGCCAAGGAACAAAGAAATCATTGAACTGACCAGCTTGTTGGAAAGGCTAAGGCTATGTCAGTATAGGTTATGAAAACACGTGGGCTTCAGGATCCCAGAATCAGTTGCTTGGATAGATGTCACTTATGCTTGTAATGGAAACAGTTTCCATTGCACAAATTGAACTCAAATACTAATTTGTTACCAGCCCTCAGGGAGGCAGAGACACCTGTTTGGCAGGAGCACTACACAGCAATGTTGAACAGCTGTGAGAACCTTGGGCTGGGGGAGCAAGGGGAAGTCTTGCTGTGCAAGTTCTGTTGCCAGTCTAGACCTGGGCTAAGATTTTGCTTCATTGGCTCCTCTGTCTTCCCGTCCTATGTGATACTTGGTACCTGAAGAGAAAGGCACTACAGATTCTTAGCTGGAGCAATTTTGTCTGGCAGCCAACTTTCTTTGGTTTGTAATGTAGTGGCTGAGGTGTAAAGTGTTGATCCTTCCACCATTTATGGACATTAGGCTATGGTGTCTACAGGCTGAGTTATATCTAGCCAAAAAATTTTCTTGAGAAGGTCAGTTCCAGGTAAAGAGCATCATTATAAACCTGTTTAAACAGGCCTGCTTGAACCTAGAGAGAAGTCCTGTGAACTGAGAAAACTTCATCATTGGGTAATATTAATAGATTTACCCTGCTACCAGATGTTGAAGCAGACAGAATATTAACCATCAAAGACAATTTTCAGAAAGGCCTAAAATAATAGACTAGGAGTTATATGCCCAAATAATTTTTTTGTCCTGCTTGTGGCGTTGCCTTGGTGCGACTAGAAGTTCTGTATTCAACTTATTCTCTCTTGAAGTGCAAGGAACAAAGATTAGAAAAGAAGCAAACAGAAAAACTTTGCTGTGACTAATAAGCAATTGAGATAACTGTAGTTACTTCCAATATAGCTGCTGTTTGAAGAGCTAATATTTGCTTGAACAAATACTTATTGATTAGAGACACAGGTACACATTATTTTTTTTGCCATGAAGGACACAATTCGGTGCTAAGCAAATGTTATAGTTCTTTATACCCCTAATGTACAAAGAAGGCAGAGATGGCATTTGTTTTAAAAAGTATCTTTGTTTCTGAATTATGATATTGACTTGTGTTCATTATTACCAAAAATATTCACCAGAGAAAAGAAAACATTCTGAGGATACTTCTGTTTCTGCCATAGACTACCAGCTAAATCCTGCAAGGTGCTTGGTGCTCTGGCTTCAAAGCACTTCTGCACTTAACATGGTCTGCTAAAGTGACTTATTTGGTTGGGTCCACAGCACACAACCCCTTGGAAGACCAAGAACTGTGCCCCATTTTCAAATATAAAACCAATCAAGCTGAAAGGACACTGAATGTAAGTGTTGTATGAGGGCCAAAATTGCCCTTCCTGTAGAGATAGAGGTTTTTTGAGTATTGTATAAAGTAGAATCCTGGGGCAGTTTTGACTTTTAATATAGCTAAGTAGATTCACAAAAAACCAATCATTAAGCTCTGTATTTTTACAACTTCACTGAGGTACTGAAGTTCTAATGTCAAGAGCCACAAATAGTTCTGGAGTTATTAAAAGGGAAATATGAAAGCACCGAAAATCTGAGGCTGCAACCTTGCTGTGCAAAAATGATACTTTAATGAAATGTACTGTTCATGTCTAATGTATGCTGCACAGTGACTGCTCTGGGAACAGGATCCTTTCCAAGGCCTGAGCAAATGTCACTCCTGAGGTGTGTGCTGGGGGCTATGTGCACTCTGAATGCTCATAAGGGTCACTAGAGAAGAACACAGTAGCAGTTCTGAACAAGAAAAACCCACCTGTAATCTCTTCTGGTCAAAAAAAAAAAATCTTTCCAATGCATT